TTGGGAAAGCAAGGCTATGTGAAATTAAATGGAAACGTCAGCTCAACTCATGTCATTGTGGGAAAATTCTACTACCAGTCCTTCATCACCTTACACGGGAAAACGTCAGCTCAACTCATATCATTGTGGGAAAATTCTACTACCAGTCCTTCATCACCTTACACGAAAAAAGTCAGCTAAACTCATATCATTGTGGGAAAATTCTACTACCAGTCCTTCATCACCTTACACGAAAGAAACGTCAGCTCAACTCATATCATTGTGGGAAAATTCTACTACCAGTCCTTCATCACCTTACACGAAATTGTAAAAGTCAGCTAAACTCATATCATTGTGGGAAAATTCTACTACCAGTCCTTCATCACCTTACACGAAATAATTCAATGGTAACGTCAGCTCAACTCATATCATTGTGGGAAAATTCTACTACCAGTCCTTCATCACCTTACACGAAATAGCGTCAGCTAAACTCATATCATTGTGGGAAAATTCTACTACCAGTCCTTCATCACCTTACACGAAATAGGGGATCAGCTCAACTCATATCATTGTGGGAAAATTCTACTACCAGTCCTTCATCACCTTACACGAAATAGGGGCCAGCTCAACTCATATCATTGTGGGAAAATTCTACTACCAGTCCTTCATCACCTTACACGAAATAGGGTGAAAACTCATATCATTGTGGGAAAATTCTACTACCAGTCCTTCATCACCTTACACGAAATAGGGTGAATACATACTCATATGATTGTGGGAAAATTCTACTACCAGTCCTTCATCACCTTACACGAAATAGGGTGAATACATCCTCATCACACTGATTTACTGGTAGTCTCGAAACCCTACTTTAATACGAATATAAGTAACGTTGTCGATTACTATAGAAAACATAAGTATTTTTATTCACTAAAGTGTATAATTTGTCTGATTCAACAATACGGTTAACGAACTGACAGGAAGCATATACATAAGCTCGGTGTTGGTAAGAAAAGAAGATATATCAGCTAAATTTATTTAATGTTAGCCTCATTAAATTCACATTGGATAAAAAAACTTTAAAAATCAGCAAAAAGAACTCAACGATTCTACGATTAGCTATTTATGGCTGAGAACCCTTTTTGAATAGTTAATTTTTAGGTCCAAACTCATCACATAAAATGATTATTATCAGTCATAGCAAATTTTGGGTATGTGATCTTGATTAAGTTCTATGTTAAAAATATCAATTACCTATTGAAAAGTCCCGTAAACCTATAGGTTAGCATTACCTGACTCGTGACAGTCTCAAGATCTCGAGACATCTTGAGCTGCTTAGAGGGATGAAAGGATTGGTAGTTGAGCTTCACACAATGGAATGTGTTAAGCTTAGCTTTGCCCCAAAAATGCCTTATTATCCAGGCTGGACTTCGATTGATACCCCCCCAATGAGATTGGAAAACGAGGCTGTTTACGATAAGCTTGTAGATTATTCGATTTAATATGAATAGATGTACTGATGATTTTTAAGCCTACTCATTTGGAATAGAGTAATGCTGTGTGATGTGGTAAGAAATGAAAGTATATCTTATCGGCATTACTTTTTCGTGAGTGAGTGAGGCTTGCAAGATGATTTGTTTTCACCCTATTTCGTTTTAGTTGATGAAGAGCTGGTAGCTGAATTTTCTCACAATGATATGAGTAAAGCTGATGATTTTCATTGAATTTCATATGACTTTGCTTCCCCGAAAGGTGTTCTCATCCAAAGTTGACTACAGTTTCGAATTCGCATAGACCTTATCAACACCCGAAGCGAAAGTCAAGCCATGACAATGCAGCGTGTAAGCTCGAAATGTTAGCCATTACGCAACATTGCCACGAGTGAATCTGGGTCTCAGAAAAGCTGTTAGTTTCAAGGAATGTCAGGCATTTTCCATATCACATTCTGCGTTGCGAATGTCGATGAAGCAAACTTATGTACGAAACCCGGTTTTCCTTCATATCTTCGAAGCGAACTTATATTTGCTACAGCAATCGACAACATTGCTTCTTTGTGAGTGAATAGGTCTCGAAAACCTAATCTATCTGTTCCGGCATTTTATAGAACAGCATCTGAAAAGTAATCGAGACAAGAGCCGCAAAACAATCACATTTGTATGAGGTTGCAACTCTCGGAGGGGACGGAATGGCTTTCTTGTCAAATGAACAAGTCACGGCAGACTATCGTTAGGGCAAAAAGATGAGTCGGCATCTGGCCAGTGTCATGAATGTCTTAAAAGTTCTATTGCTAGAGCGACCTAATTTTTGAATGGTAATATGATAGCATTCTAAGGCTCCGTTTCTTCTCGGCCGTCCATTTCGCCCACAAAGTTATTTGTGTATGTATGCATTTGCCATAAAAGCGCAACTCGTTACCCCACAAGCTGGGCTCGAAAGAAGAATGTGAAATATATTCAAAGCATAGTTCAATTCCTACTTACAAGCAAATGCAACTGGGACTAGTTGTCTCTGGCTCCGTTCATCTAGTCAGTTCTGCCTGTACCGGTTTTTTGCATTTTCTTTTATCTTTCCTTTGCTTTGCTCATCTTTCCATAGTGTCAACATTTATGTCTGCAAGTGTGCATTACATGCATCCAGGAGCCGTGGTCGCATGGCCACAGAGTTTTGGACATGCTCTCTATGGCCCACGGAGATACGATGAGGCGAGGCATTCTTTCCTCATGGTTAATGCATTTGGCGACAGCTTGTCGGCCGATCGTCTTCGTCGAGTGCAAACTGACATGTTTCTGGTGGGAGAGCCAGAGAGTTTAAGCGCACTGACATGGCCTGGTCCCTTCCGGGGAAGCAACAGTAGAGTGGCAGCCTTTTTGTGGTGGATGCTGGGCCTTGATTGTGGTCGAGAGGCGGGCTTGGGAGTGGTAATGGTGAGGGGCGAGTTGGGAGAGAGAGAGAGAGAGAGGCAAATATGGTGGCGCAGAGCCGGTTGGCAAAGGCGATAGTTGTGATGGCAGCTGTAGAGATAACTGTATCTGATGGAAGTCTAATGGCGAGGATGAGGCGAAACAAGCTAAAAGAGATTGCCAAAGCGGAGAGCGAGAGAAATGAGGAAAAAAAGACAATAAAGGATTGCGAAACACTGGGTCGGACACGGTCAGACAAGGCTTGAAATTGACTGAAGAAGAGTGACAGGGCTAAGAACCCACTGTTAAGCCGGATAATTGCTCAGTTTGCCCTTAAAAAGACAAACAACTGAATGAAATCCAGGCTCATCAAGCCCCTGTTCCTGCTTCGATAGACGTGAAAGTATGTGAAGCATGCTACCCCACAGCTTTATCACAATTGCCCTTTTTACCAGCCCAGGGGAGGCAATGAAGACTAATAGGCTCCACTTTCCTGGCTGGCATGAGAGTCACTATCGTCATCCTCACAATGGTACTACTGTTCTCCTTCCTTTACCATTTTGTGGAAGTAATATGTTGGGGGATATGTTGACCAATGCCTTTAATATCTTTTTTTTTCAATACGGTTATTAGTTAAGCCGATGTCGTCGGCCAGACTCATGTGAAGAGAAAGACTTCATCTTGCTTGAAATATATTCTCCTTTAAAGACTCTACTGTGGCAGGGATAACGTGATTAAACCTCCGATGTAAAGGGGCCTTCT